GGAGATTATTAAGGACCGATTTCAACTTGGATTTAATGAAACTCAGATCAGGAATCAGGATGACAACCAAGAGTGGATTTGCCTGTCCTCATCAGAACTGAGCCATCATTTGCGACCGTTATTAAGGAAATGTAACATCAGGGTGATAACAAAGGAGAAGAAAACACGTTTCACTATTCTGCCAACACAACACGAGAAGACTGAAAAACTTGATTGCTCGGAAGTATATCGCATCAAATGCAGCAACTGTGAGCAGAAGTGTATCGGTGAAACAGGAGAAAAAATCGGCCTACGAATCAAGCAACATCAAAAACTCTGTAGGAACATGGATACACAAAGATCAGATCCGAGAGGCCGTCGAAATACTGATCGAGAGAGATCTAATTAACAGGAGACATGAAGAAGACAGGATCAGCGAAAATTTTGCATATTGCCTAAACAAACTCGGAGAAGACTAGGCAACACTAAAATCAGCAAAAAGAAGACGACTAAATCAAGGTAATATTCTTAATTTTAGAAAGACAGATCGCAGCGGGATGAGAAAGGAAGAATCAGAAGCAAAGAGGAGACATCTTCAGTGAGCCCAGTCAAAAAAAGTAGAACCACGACATTTGTGGGTCGGCACACAAGAGACTAGAACGTAGAAAGCGATGGACATGGTATTACAGATAGAAACATGAAAGACTCGGTGGAGACTAACGCTGTTTGGCTAACAATAGACTTGTTTGATCAGAAACATGATACTTTAATCACGACTATTGTTAGCCAACCAGCTCTAGCCTCCACTATTTCTATCCTCTTTCTATCTACAATACCAAGCCTATGACTTGTTATGCTCTAGTCTCTTGTGTGCCAACCCACAACTGCTGTGGTACTGCTTGCTTTGGTTAACAATTAGAGCTAGTCGGCTGACAGTAGGTTTTACAAGAGAAGTCGTGCATGTAGCAAAGGCCTCAGCCTCTTATTAATCACCAAGGTGCAGTGGATGGACCAATTACGCCTCGAATACCACCGATGGAGGGGCAGGGGTCGAGTGAAATACATGTACCAAGAAGGTAGCAGACGGATTCTACGGGGCAAGAGGGAGACTTTGATAGGACCCAGAGAAGGACTACGTGACAATATGACAGACTCTGGTCCACATTCCCAGCAGAAGGGTGAAGGGTGTGAGAACGAAAGTGTGGAGTGTGAAGGGTTTTCATGAATGCCGCTCGAAAGAGCACACCACACTACATGTAAATAGACACTGTAAAAACTGTGACAGACAAGGTGTGATAGGAGGATATAAGAAATGTGAATAGGCCAGGGGAGAAGGGGAGATACCACAACTGTTGAGCACATGTTTGGTCAAAAGATGGGCTTCACTTGTCCCTTTGACGAGTTGTAATATGGTGCTATGAATGGCAAGACTCACTGACGATGCCGGCGAAACGTCTG